ACTTGATACAGACATTCCACCCGATGAAGCACGAGACACTATGGCGGCAGATGATGATGAGAAATTGCGGAACATCGCAAGTATAGAATCCGCACTGGATATTTTCGGGGTTCTGAAAGTAATTTCCTGAGACATCAAATCTCTGTCCAAATAGCAATCATAGGAAATAATATTAGGTCCTCACATATGAAATAGGCGTTTTATCGTACTGGCTGCTTTAATCGCAATTTTTTTCTCCTTGGTTGGGATTTCCAAATTCAAATTTATACAGCCATTTACACATGTATTTGTGTTTCGTTAGGCGGCATTCATTTGTTTTTTTTTCTTTGGTTTGTTCTATTTACGTCACCCAGTATAAAAAAAATTGAAAACTTGAAATATCGTGCTATTTACGAGTACTAGTTTCACCGTGGTACCAGTGCTGCGGAACCGGCTCGAAGGGTTAATGATGTGTATGGCGGTCCGAGTTAGCTGCAGGTTGCGGTGTTAGTGATAAAACTGTTTTAATCCACTTAAAACAAATTCGAAAGATTAAAAAGCTTGAAAGGTGGATACCTCCCGAATTGAGTGAAGCAAACCGGCAAACGCGCTTCGACTGCTGCGTTACATTACTTAACCTACACAACAATGAAGGGTTTTTAAATCGAGTGAAGGAGCGAAGGGTTTTTAAATCTGTGATGAAAAGAGGATTCTCTACGTTAATCGGAAGCGCTCATCATCAACATTGCGATGCCCATTGGACTTCCTCGGTGGCGTAGTGGATAAGCGCCGCGACCCGCGATCGTTGTCGTTAAGCAACTTTCGCAAGGGTCGGTCACGGGATGGCTGACCAAAAAAATATTATCACGAGTTACTCCATGCTTCGGACTAGTGCCGGTGTCGTTCATTACAGTTTTTCAAATCTGGCCAGATGATTACGGCAGACGTCTATTGTCAGCAATTGCAAACCATGCTGGAAAATCTAGCTGTTAAACAACCGAGGCTGGTTAATCGCTCTACGACACTGCTACTTCACGAGTATGTAAGACCATTCACTGCACAACAGACGGTTACCAAATTAGAAGAGGTTCAGTTGGAATGTTTCAGATATCCACCGTACTCCCCGGACATTGCTCCAACAGATTACCATTTTTTTCGAAATTTGGATAACTTCTTGCAAGGGAAAAAAATCAATTCCGATGGGGCAGTGCAAATCGCCTTCAAAGATTTTATTGATTCCCGTCCGATTGGTTTTTTTAGTAAGGGAATCAATGAACTTCCTATGAGAAGGCAAAAGTGCATAGATAACAATGGTTTATACTTTGATTAAATAAATATATTATATTAAAAAATATTGGACTTTTTGTTCCTCCCATACCAAACTCCAATTTCATATGTAAGGACCTAATATTAACTATTTTTAAAGAAAAAGCTAATAGCATATACCTGGAATATTTTTTCAGAGCGGCGTGAGCTAATGTCAAATCAAGACTAGACATCGAATCGCTGCCTTGGTTACTGGATGTACTGTGAGGTGATCGAATTTCCACTCCCGGAGATGGAGGAGTACTCGAAGCTTTAGTCTTGGTTCCTCTATCAGCTATTACTGACATAGGAATCGTTATAGTATTTACTATATCTACATCCGAACTGGAACTCATTTCTGCGGATACTTTATTTAGGAGTCTGGCAAAAGTGACTTTCTTTTCCAATTTAGGATCTGATATGTGTCTCATTGATGGAGACGTGGATGGTGAAGATGCTTCACTGGCAAATGATGTCTCTTTATTTTCCATACCATAGTCCATAAAAGCAGGTGCACTTTCTACTGTGTTCAGTGTCCTTTTCTCTGACATCTGTATTAACTCTCCCATTGTGATTTTCTTCGAGTGGTCGTTCCCTGACGCTGGACTTATCAGTTGTTGAAGTATTTGCTTTTTTTCTGCCGCGTTTTTCTTTGTTGGTGTTGAGTTGTTCCGTTTTTTCCTTGGCGACGGTGTTCCTGTGCAAAAATCTTGCGATATATCAACAACTATATAACCGATTTGTTCTATGAGAAGCGTTTACGACATCAATGTTCATGACAAAAACTACACAATATTCAGATCTAATTATCCATAGAACTTTATTGAAATATTAGTAGATGTTGACAACAATCATAAGAATAATTGCGAGATCAGTATCATGCCTCTAATCTCATTTTAAGTGCATCTAACGGAAGCCAATTCTTTAGGGTAGGTGCTATAATCAGGAAAGTTTGTCAAAATAGTGCCAATTACTTTAGATATCTCATATACAAAATGGTATTTGCAAGTGTTTTAAAGATTTTAATATGATAAGACGAATGGGGATGTTGATCTACCAACGTTAGTGGATATGGCTATTGGAATTTTAGGAAAGCAACATTGAAAGCGAACATTAAACATTAAGTGTATAGTGCCAGTGCAGTACCTTGATATTAGTTCCAATAACCATATAAATAAAAGGACAGTGTTATGCTGTTGGTGTAAACTATGCATATCTAGAAGATAATAAACATGATGAAAACAAAGAAGTTGTTTTTTGTAAGTGCACAACAGTGTCCAATGTTAAAGAGCATGCGAAAGCACATTCATATATAAAAACATCTTTTAAACTGTCATTTGAAAATAGAGTAATATGTAGATTGGATTAGAAATGACAGCTTTAAAGATGACGCGATAGTTGGACGATCTAAAAAGGTGTTAAGGAAGAAAGGAGCGTCTACTTATTAAAGTTTGTGCATAGTCAAGGGTGCACACATTGCTTGAAGTTAAGAAATAGCGCGACCGAGTTATATTGGTCCAGGATAGCATTCCACATCGAGTGTCATTCATTAGCAGGGACACATCCAGTGCTATCAGAGCCTAGAGTCACCGCGCGCTCCGCAAAGATGTATAATGTTCGCAATATGATTTCTCGCAAAATATATTAAAAGAGGTAATATGGTTTCCAAATGATTATAGTAAATGCTTGGTCAATACTAATTTTTAGGTTATAAATACTTATTATGAAAAAGTTTGTACAAATAATGAAAATATATAAGAAGATTATACAAAATGATAAATACATAGGCATGTGGCGAAGTAATTATGGCATTCGTATGATACATGAATAATGGAACGGTGTCAATTATGTGATTGGGCTGAGTAAAGGGTAATATCAGAGCTTTTATGCAAAGAGAACTACAAAATTTTTTCAGTCAAAAAAACGGGAGTGGAATCGTACACGTGATTCATCGCAATATTGGTAAGGAATCTGAGCGAACAGGTATTTGTAAAGGAAACTGTTCGTAATAATTAAAGTGAATTAACGCAGATAAGATGGCGCATTGATGAGTTCAGAGGTAGTTCAGATATGAATCCGTGATCAGTCGCGTTATCGGTGCGGAGTGCGCGGGCCCGCACGCTCCGCTCCTTACGTCCGGGCGGCGGCTTTAACAGATCGTCCAAGCTAAAGGTGCGCGCGGCCCGCGGGTGCGGCGAGAGGCTCGACACCGACGGCTTGCGGATACCAAGCCGCGTGAGCAGCGTGCGCGGCTCTCCCGCCCCTGCTCCAGATACCGCGCCCGCCGCCGCGCCACCCCCGCGCCCGCTACCGCCCCTCCCCCGTCGCGCTGTGGACAAACCGCGCGTCACTGCGCCGCGTCACGCCCTCGCCGCTTCCACTTCCGCTGTCGGCACCGCGGCGTACCGCCCGCGCCGACCGCGCCGACTCGTTGCGCCACCACCCCCTCCGCCCCCGCCAACCCCGCCACCCCCGCTCGCGGCTAGCCCAACACCCGTTGCTACACTCGCGCTTGGACATTCCTTGCAGAATCGGAACTGAGGTTGCCGATTACCGAATCCCGAAAGTTACTCGAGAATAATCCGTTTTAAATGGTTAGCATCAAAAATTCTCAAACTTTACTGGACATAATGTATCTAGATTCTACAAGTTTAATTTATTACGGTTTAAAACAAAAATTTATCTAGTTTACAAAATGTGATTAGTATCGCTAATAATAATAATAATAATTATTATTATTATAATTGTTATTAATGCATTGATTCTGCTGTCCATCCAAGAAAAGGTTCTAGTCATAAAATGAAAGGGTGGTTAAAAGTCTTATCGGGATGGCACATTCATCGGCTACCTGAGCTTGTTCACACACTAACAACGATGGCCATGCTTGTGCGTTCGATCAAATAGGATGTGACTCGTGTGTCGATATCTTTACTAATACCACATCGATTTGTGCAAATAGTAATGATAATGACAGAGACAAAATACAGCAGAAAATGTTAATCAAATTCTTGATAATTTCCAGTTGGTAGTGAGTAAAAATGTCCAAGCGCCAAATTTTTCTGGAAATCCTCTTATAACATATATTACATATAGACGTAATTATTTTAACTTGAATTGTTATGTAAACAAAGAATTTAAAGATATTATTAATAATGTGTTGCATTTAACGATTCTAAAGTACGATTTTAAAACGAGTCAAGTTAAAAGAATTATGTGTCATACGTAATCCAGAAACCGTATGGATTTTTTTTATAGATACTGAAGTCTATTGTAAGAATTCTAATCTATAATGTAGTCCATGCATCGAAGAAGAAAAAGGATGCTAAAAAGAACAAAATGCTAGTGTTTCTGGATCCGCAAGTTTCATAACACAGAATAGAAAAAAATAGACAATGAAGTAAAAATTACGCAAAACGTGTCCTTACCATCCCAGAGATAGTGCGTTTATTGAGAAAATACATGAGTATAGCAGAAATATTATTACAAATAGAATAAAGCTTTATTAAATTACTGTGATAAAACCTATGCCATACGAAAATTATGGATTACCTCACGAAAATGAAACTAAAATCGAAAATCCGTGTACGTACATATCTTAAAAAGTGACCGTGATAAGCTAATACGCATTGTGCCTTCAAAATATATTGGTAGAACAATTATTTGAAATTTTAAGGGGTACCAATTTATGAGCCTAAAGATTTGCCCTCCTGTTCGGATCACAAGTCAAGGAAAAACTTACGCCTGGCGCATCTGTCCGCTTCTTCGGCGAGGAGCTTTTCGATCTTTTCAGGGAAATGCCTTTTGGCACACCATACCAGACCGACCATGCCCAGTACCGTGAAGACCGCGAACAGTCCCAACCAGAAAGGCTCTTGAAGCATCCGCGTGCCTAATCCGACGATGTTCGGTGTCGGGTTTGGGATCTCACATCTACGATGTAAAAATTATTCTGTTGGTTTTGTTATGTTTCGACCACAGATTAATCCATTTTAAAAGGATCTATAAATTGCTTTTTTTTTATGAATTTCTATCGAATAATGTTGATTGATTATATAAAATAATTAAGTTTAAAGTAATACTTAATATTAAATAGTAACCTACTATAATTTTAATTTTGTTGCGTTTAGCTGTCGTCTGTTTCTTCTATTAATTACCTATAAGTGGAAACTTGTAATTGGCCTTTTTTATAGATATAATAAATATTCTATAGTATTACTGTATATATATTAGCTGTAAGTTTTCCGAAGACAGAGAAAATGAAAAATAAAATGAAAATGTATGCGGCACAATCCCCGCAGTTTAGATAAATTTGCAATTTTTCATCCACAAAATTTGAGTCTGTACTAATATCATAAAAATGGTGTCAGCTGATGAAAGATTGGTTAAGAAGTGTACCTCTTCCCTTTCCAGGAGGGGTTGCACTGGCATAGGAATCCTCCGTCCCGCTCAGTGCATGCGCCGCGGTTGTTACAAGGCCGCGCGGCGCACGCACGCACACGCTCCGCGCACCGCACTCCGCGCCACCCGCGCGCGCATGCACACGTAAACCCACTCCCACTTCCACTACCCTCTCCACTCGCCACCAACGAGCAATTGCCGAATACGCACGGCGAACGCTCGCACGCCGTCAGCGAACAAAATATACCTGTGCCGATGATCATGTTTTAGTATATTCGTCCGCAATGGATTTTAGAGATAACAAAGTTAATGACGATGTTTGTTTTATTATAATAAAGGCGCTGCCAAATCCAACTCATAAAGTGATCACTGCTTTGAAACATCATTCATATATTTGGTTATATAATGAATGAATGAATGAATTAATGAATAAACACTTTATTGTACTCCACAAAGAAAAACATGAATACAAGCAAATATTTACAGTACAATCGGCGGCCTTATCGCTAAAAAGCGATTTCTTCCAGGCAACCGTACGTTAGACTGGATTATATACTGGTGCACCTGCCAGATACAAAAGGTATGTGTTCGAACATATGTTCAAAAACTTGATCTTTTTTTCGATACAGTGTGTTAGGCAGGACAACCTTTAGATGGGCGCTAAAAATCGACACAAAATGGCAAAACCCACTTGCCTTTTTAAATATGTGGCAATAATATCAATACTTATTTGAACGCTTAAGTTGACATGTGTAGTGGCGGGGTCAAATTACTTTTACTGCCACGATTGTTTGTCTGAACGCAATAAAGCGTCTGGAGCGTCTCAAATTTTTACATATACTTGTATGCACAGAACAGAGAAGAGACTGTTCTAAGCTTGGATGAGTGAATTTAATATTCCCCATTTCGCCGGCCAAAAAATTAAGAGAATCCTTATTGTACATACCTAGGGTTCGTTTGAAATCAGTTATATAATTAAGTTCTTACCAGTATAATAGCCGGCGCATCGACAGATGGCTTTCGTGTCATCAGAAACGCAGTGACCTCCGTGCATACAAGGATTTGGGTAGCACGACTCTAGGTTGGTCTCGTCAGGTAAAAGTAGCAGCTTATTGTGATATTCTGGATCTATTTATCGGAATAAAACCTCTCGTTATCGTTTTTAAAGTGAAATTAACGATATGGATTATAGAATAGGCTTTATATTTATATAAATGTCGATATGTGGGGAAATAAGATAATAATGTATTTTTAAAATAAAACATTATGAATAAAATATTAAAATTACATTCAGTATGAACTGCGATTTTGCGTTTTCCGCTATATCTAAGCAACGTATGCTTAAAGTACGTAATGATGAAACTAGTACTTACCCTTGTTAACATTGACATAAATGTCCACATCTATCCCTTGGTCACCGGCGTGTTGTGTTACAGTCAGCACGTGGAGATAAGAGTTAATGACGAGTGGAGCACTCGACTCCACCTTCCTTTTACTTCGGTTTGAGTCGCAGAGAATCCATTCAGTGCCGTTGTTGTCTGCATAGCTGTCTTTTACCTAATGAATAGTCCTTATAACTGTTGAATCTTTATATTTATATATTGGAGCTTGCAGATCGAGCAGAAATTATAATTTTCAATCAAATAGTATTTGTAAACTCAGAAATATTAAAATGTGGATTGGCAGATGCTGGGCAGATGCACTGTAGCTAATGAAGGAGATCTCTGTCATTTGTCTCGTTTACAAATCCCTTGATGAGTAGGTAGCGGGTTCCAATTCTTTCGCTGCCTCTACGTTTATTATTCTGTTCACACAAGGCCGCAGGTTTTTACCATCCGATTATACTTGCTTAATTTGATCGTGGATTGTGGAGAGTAATCAATGACCGAGAGTTGCGTTTAAATGATCCCTAACACATCGATCCTCGAAAATTCAGCGGATTAGCATTAAAATAAAAAGCTGCAATAGTGCGGTTATTAGACCGTGCAGTACTTAACATGAAAGTAAATGCAGATGCTATGTGATCTTAGGTTATTAATATTAATATTAATAGAAAATATACTAGAAATAGATATAGGAAGAAATACTTTTTTGAAGTCAGATTTTTATTTTCCTACACTCATAGTATTGAAATGTAAAGCTAATGTTTACGATATCTTTCAGTAGGCACAAATGTCAACGTCTGAAATTCTCTCTGTTCGGCGACCAGACTATACTTTTAAATATGTTTAATTTATGTGCAGGATTAAGTTTTAGGTGGGTACCGGACGAATGCTGACCTGTATCCACCCGTGTCCTGGTCCGCACGGCGAGGCGTGGTGAGGACGATCGTCGGGTGGTAGCGCGGCGCGGTGAAGCGCGAGTGCTAGCGTGTGTCGTGGGAGCGCGAGCAAGCGGGTGGAGAGAGACGCGCGCGCGGGCGCCGCACCTGGCCAGTTGGGAGGTGCTAACTGACCGCCACCCGCCCACACTTCCACCACATGACTCACGTTAAGAAACCCCACTGCCGACATATATTTTATATATACAAACATATATATTATATCTTCACTTTCAAAAACATAGGGATCAATGACATGCAGGGCTGGTGCTGCCAGGTGATGGTAACTGTACTTAGCATGCTAAGAAACTCATAGCATGCTAATGCATTTTGAAACTCGAAAGGTTTATTAGCTTTCCTACTCACATGTATGCATACATTTTTTTATTATATGTTTGATTATTATTATTGACCCTACAAAAATTACTATGTTTATTTTTACTCTTTTTACCTACTGAGTCATTATCCTTCGACTCTTTGTTGGTAGAAGCATATGTAAGCAATTTTGATAATTTATTAGTCTACCTTAAAATTAAATAATGTGACAGATGCAAATTCGATTGAGTATAACGAGCATATATGAAATGCAATGCGTTTCTTTCCTCTGTCACATCCTAACAGATTAACCTCAAATTTGATTATGCACTCATAGCTTGACATACAGCAGTTTAATAATGAAAAGAAGATATAGGATGCAAATAATAATATTTTTAAATTGATTTGCTACAGTCTTTGCATTACAAGGTATAAGTATGTTTATAAAATGGGGAAAAATCATCCAGAACTCACCAGTCTTAAAATGTGCTAGAAATCCCATCCCTGTAACGTTTTCCCCGGTTTTCAGTCTCAATCTTAAAATTTCTGATTGTGACACAAACAAGCCATTAGTGAGAATGTTTGGATCCACAAATGGTCGGATCGGCATAGTCTGCAGATCGATTTGGACTTCTAGAAAGGAATATTCTGGAATGTCATTGCTGAAGTTGAAGGGAACACCATTTTTGAAAGTTCCGTAGCCAAAGTCGAAGGAACTAATGTTCAGGAATACGCGTTTGCCTGTAAAATTACATAAACATAATTATAATCGCTGCACAAAAAACTATGAATTGAAATCCGAGACCAAAACAATAAGGATCATTTTTGCATTTTCTTTCTTTAAGAATTCCTAGTGACTCGCTAACAGCTTTGTGTAGGTAAACCGATAAATATAGTACGTACTTAGTGCTCTCACATATCAAAACCAAAGATTTTAATTGTTTATTTTTATATAGATATTTTATTGAAGAAGTGATACTGAAACACTTACCAGCTGGTGCCAGTATATCTATTGTGCAGTCTAGGTTCGGCAGTAAAAAATTTGGATAATTTGGACTCCTGATTGTTCCCTCCTTTGACGTGAACGTCTGCGATGGACATCCAGTCAGTTCTACTGCATGCCAGCTTAAGGAAAACCCCGCTCCTTGGTTACTGGAACAATATATTTATGGCTCAAGACGTTCTTATTCTTTTAAAATTAATAAGAATGGTGAAAGACTTATAATCCTATCTGTCTCATTTGAAACGGATCCACAAAAAGAAAGTTAGATAGACTGACTAAAACCTCAATCACATGACATTGTACTCGACCTTTTTTTTTATAGTATATGTTTTAATTTTTGGCACTTCTTTACAAGGGCAAGAAATCGTTATAAGTTCATTTGTAACATAATTTATGAACTATTTACGAGTAATATATCGTTCGAACGCCTTATCACTTACTTGTAGTCAGAGTGGAAGTGCAGCACCGCTCTACGATCAGCTGCCACCCACTTCGTAACGCCGACTGATCCGCAGTATCTTGAAGATTTCATGTTACTTGGATCACGAAGCTAGCAATTAATGGACTGGGTAATTAATTCAGTTAAATTGCAGGGACATTGGGTGCAAATATTAAAGTGATGGTTGTTAAAAATCTTAATTGAAGTCGAAGATGAGAGTGAAACTTTGGGATAGATCATAAAATGTTACAATTGTCCGTCTTGTCATGTAGCTTAGGAATTATTAGAACAGTTTATTGAAACTTTTGAGTTTTGTATTTGTTTGTTTATTATATGTTAGGTACTAATGCTTTGAAAGTATCAAATCAATAAATATTTAGGTAAACTTAATGATTTCTTATAACTAATTTTTGCTTCAAGTGGTGAAAGCCTTCAATGTATATTTTTAAAGGAATATTAATTACCTCAATATAATCGTACAGGCAATCCTTCTGGTACTCCAGTTCAATCTTATGGAATATGATGACCAGCCTAGTATCAGGAGGTCCTATGATATGGACCCAATAGTCTAGATCATTGTCGTAATGATTCGGGTGGTTCGGACTAGAAAGTACACCTGCAATAGTACATATGGCAAGTTATTATAGTAATTTTGTTCGGAACTTATATATTTTCGGAATGGTATTTTTATATCACTGTATTTTTGTTATGTTGTGTTACTGTTTGTGTTTTTCACCGGATCGATTCCAGCGGAAGATCAGCGCTGATCACAAGACCAGCATATGATGAGCTGGAACCGTTTTGGGACAGAAATTTAGTTGTGTCTATGTGATTGTGTGGTTTCTGTTTTATTTTTGAGCCAAATTATTGTTTTTTTTTATTTATTTTTTAACACTTTTATTCTTCAATTCCCGAAAAATAATCTTTCGTAATTTAACAATCCGTTTAGAATCGTAATCAGAAAATTTCTAAATATTTTCTAAGTAAACTTCAACTTTAAATTTATTGTTCCGGGGGTGTTCTTGTCTTTTTATTGTGTTATATCTTTTTCAAACGAGGAACATTTAATAGTAATAAAGATTATTGTACGATTATGTTACTGAAGATTTAGCTGTAGTAATTGTTGTGACATAGTGGCAATATTTACTTCATTCTACTTTCGTTACGCTATTATATTATAATTTTTCCCTCCAACAGAAATTGTACATCACTTAGGTAGTTTTTGCCGATTATCTTTGTTTTAGTCTGTATGTGTAGCATGGTGAACTCGCGAGACTCGAGAAACGGAACGAAAGATAGATATGCTCATCGATACAATATCTCACATGCGCCACATACTCTCTATATTCAAATATTAAGGTTTAAAATTGAATGAGGAAATTTTACAATTTTGTATAGTCTGACGTGCAGCCGACTGTATCTCAGTTGTCTCAGATATTCAATGTAGGTTGTTTAATTGAAAATAAATTGATTTAATTACCAGACGTCCCATCGACAGTTCTGTTGGTGATCACATACTCGGCGTTCAGTCTCCGTTTACATACGAAACCACCAGTGATGGTGCATTTGTGTAATGTCCAATATAGCCCGCTGGGTTGAGAGGGCAATGTCGATGATTTCCACTGTAAGCATCATTATCAGCCTATTAATATCCCCACTGTCCCTACAGTTTAGTAGGTCTACTAAATGGAAGCAAATAGGGTTAACTGGCTATATCACGTAGGTTTAATGCGGATTGTTGGGTGTTTACGATTACATATGTAGCTGAAATAAACGCGTCTTCCACAAGCACAAAGTAGCTCGAGATGATTTTTTTTTGTCAACCATCCTATACCATCTTAGGATAGTTGACCAAAAATATACACAAAATTAGTAAAAATAATTACTTAGGATAGTTGACCAAAAAAGTATATTTCAACTAAAGTGAGTACCAATTAATTCCAAAATTAGTAAGTTCAAAAAATTCTAAAATTCAATTGAAAATAAATGATTTGTCTTCTAAACTGATTTCAATAAAACGAGGATATATATAATAACTTTTACGGTTGTTAAAAGGCATTGTTTGGTGCAATACAACCGAACGGCGTTGTATGCATTTATGCTTTTTAGGTCATTAGCGACGTCAATAATTTAGTCCGAAATCATACGTCAACCGGGACACGCGACTAATCATTTTATCATTGTAAACGGACTCAAGTGTTTTATTTATATCATTTGTCATTATCACCGGCACTATACCGAATAAGCATACCACACAATACATTTTTTTGAATTTTATTTTAAGAAACATTGAATCAGGCTGAGGTTCTGTAGTTAATTAAATATTAACCGCCCGACTTCAATGTTTCTTAAAAAATATTACCGCTTTTTATATAAATATTATTTTTCACTTTTTTAAATTTATGGTGGGTTCCATTATTTTAAAGTTCATATTACATGCGTTTTAGTGATATTTTGAGTTTTGGGGTAGGAAACATCATGCATACTTAAAACAAATTAAAGAATTATATGGTTTTGCGATTGCCAGATCTGGACCAAAGATAAAAATAGAACCACATAGCAAACATTAGCTTTCAAACAAAGAAAGAATCATCAAAATCGGCCCACCCAGTAAAAAGTTATAAGGTAACAAAAAAAAAATACAGTCGAATTGAGAACCTCTTCCAATTTTTTTGAAGTCGCTTTCACCGTTTACAATGCACAGTGGTATTAATAAAGTATGCGTGTTTTGGTAGAAAATATGACAAGACAATTTGAGCCAAAATGACGGGATCGATGTTTGAGCAAATAATAAAAGGCTGACTCTGAGAACGGATGGATTTTATGGTAAAGAAAAGAAACTCTTTTTGGGTTTCTTTTAATGAAAACTTGAATCGTCCAAGTTTCAGGATATACTTTTATTATATTATATATAATTTATAATTGTTACTTTAATCACAAAATTTTATGTTAAAATTTATACGATTTATAATATGTGTGATTTACATATTTGCAACACACGAATTTGAATTTTTTACGAGCAGACATTCATAAAGAGTATATTCTGATTAGTCAAAATTTCAAATCACGAAAGGTGAATAATAAAAAAAAATATTGGAATATCAAAGACAAAAAGTTTGCATACTGAAACCTAGGACAAAATAAACGGTGGTATGGCACACCGTTACAAAACTAGAACTTTTATCTTTCTTGTTGTTTTCCCGCTTTCGGCCTCCCTATGGCCATAAAATCTTTTACGATACTCAATAAGATTGATCGCCACTAATGTACTACTAATGAATGAGAGGAAATAACGTGCGATTATCTGTTACTTACGTGGTTTACTCTTTTGCTCTACAGTTACAGAGGCCATACATTTATTAGTCAATTGTTATGATTTTATTTGTTTGATTGTTTTTGACTCGAAAAGGCTTCGTAATTACCGGACCAATTTTAAAAATTCTTACATTTTCGTACGGGAAGCTACGTCATACGTGGGTAATATAGGTTATAATTTACGAGGGCAAAGTGCGGGAAAACAGCTCGTAGCCATAAAACATTTCAGTTGGTAAAATGTTATGTTTCAGAATCTCTATGGATAAAATGATATATCTACATAATCTAGTACAATTACCAGCTGTACATCCATGTTTTAACTAGCTGGCCCCGCGAATCAAACCTTGGTCTGGAAAGCATCCAGTATCAAAGCCCTCATAAACACGTATCTGACGAGCCCAAACACGATGCAGTTGCGTCATTTCATCACTAAGTTCCTATGACTACTTTCCGACTTCATAATTATATCAGCTTACTGACACCATAATATTGCATTATCATATTACTTACGTGTCTATACAAAATTTCAAATCTATCGGACCTATGACTAACATACTAACAAGGCAAGTTACATAAAAAGCTTGAAAAAATACTTTACCTATACACATTAAGTACTTATAAGATATTTGTGCACCAACTGCAAATGACTATACGTGCACAAACTACAGCGAAGCCTCTTTAACACAGTTAAGTATCCAGTAAATTACAACACAATTGGGCGTGAAAGGTGCTTTATGATTTTCTATTGTAATTTTTACAATCGACACACTAATAAGAAACTTTAATTATTAACACTTAAGGTCTATATTATTTCAACTCACTTGTACTGCTAAGCATTCCTCTTCGGCTTCTTCGGTGTCATTGTATAACGACCAGCCTTGGTACCCAACAGCACTTCCATCGACCCAGCTGAAGTTATCACCGCTTACTTTATCCACTTTAGCGCCTAACCAGTAGACCGATCCAGCGCTGTAGTCGCTGCTTTGCCTAATTCCCGTGACAATGAAGCGCTCTTCTTCGTTTGAGTGGACGGACGCCAGCTGCATGTTTAGACCTTCGCAGACCTGGAATAAGACGTATACTACACAAAATACGGAAAAAAGGTCTGCTATTGTCTAATTTCGCAATTTATCGCAATCATTTTCAATTTGACATTTGAAAGATATTCACGAACTTCAGGCTACAATTATTTGACATGTGTCAATGAGCAATTTCGATCGCGATATTTATTTTGAAAGATTATATAGGTGATAAAAATAAATTGATAGTCTTTCTAGTATGTATATAGGGAAACTGTAATCTTTTAAAGGTTAAAATAATTTTTTATTTAACTTGACCTTTAAAAGATAGCAGTTTGCCTAATTACATAATTCCATAAATAGCTACTACAAGCGCTGTTACTTTGAAAGGAATTGCACTAGATTTCAAAATTTGTCAATCAGCTGAATCGACGTATAAAGTATCTTAAAATTACAGAGAGCACCTATTTTAAGTTTCGAAATATTTGATCCACCTAGTATTGCTGCCGTTAACACTCTTACTACTCGATCGCGTATTAATTCATTCCCTTTTCTATTTGAGCCATTGCAGAAGACTAATAACCTGCACATTTCCTTGGTCCATTGTCAAAATCAAATCAAAATCATTTATTCATTCTAGGCTGTTACAAGCACTTGAGAGTGTTGAAACACTATTCCATCTGTTCGTAAATCTACAGCGAGAGACATCGTATCGAATATGATATCATTTTCCTACACAATATTAAAAAGTATAATAAATAAAAAACTTAAAATAAGAACCGCGCATATCATTTAATTAATAACCTACAGAAAATCTCCGTTAGACTTCAATAACATTTTTTGAATAATTTGCTTTAGAGATAAGTATTATTTATCACTTTTTAAAGAATGAAGCTTCTATTTTTTAAAGTTTTTATTTCATGCTTGATATGTAACACTATAATATTAAATATAAAAATAGTCAACATAGTTAAATTCTTAGAAAGGAGATTTTATTGGCTCAATATTTTTTCCAATAATTCTATACTCACAAAGAGGAAAGAGTTGGACCAAAACCAAAACTATTGGAGCGATTTACCTGCGGGAAGCTACATAATACGCGTTGAAAATATGATTTACGCAGGCGAAGTCGCCGGGAAACAACTAGTTTGATAGAAATTGGTTCACAATTCAAGAAGAAATCGATGAACACACTCACTTTCATAAAAAAATATATACAAACTCCTTGAACATATGAACGAATTCAAAATATGCAATATGTTTTTAGCTGAAATAAACATAGATGATATGTAACGGTTTCTAAGCGTTTCTCTTCAGTGAGGTTACATCGGAGGGCATATAGTAGCTATACCAACCGCTTTTTTTGACATGTATTGCCCCTGGGCGAGAAACTTCAGTGGCAAGTGGAGTACTTGTCTCAAAGTATTTAACAAGGTTTCACTCCATAAATGACAACGTATTATACTCTATAGAAAAGAGGAATGATAAGTCAACCCTTAAATGTTTAAAAAGTATTAATTTGAAGGCCGTTTTCACTTTGTCTGCAGTCGCCCGTTGTCGCGCCGTGAAAATTACAATAATAAGAACACTGTAACAAAGTTGCCTATGGAAAGTTTGTAAGATCTGTTAAGACAGTAGGGCTGCCAAATAATGTGCAAATGACTAATAATTTTATTAATTTGATGCTTTGCGTAATCTATGGTCATTACGTTAGTCAAATTTAATAAGATTATTAATTGAAAAAAAAATTGAAGGTTCATTAACGACCGTAAATGCAGCTGAGACTAATAGCTTAACTTGCCTTCCGATGCACGGCTTCAATTTTTTGGTCACCCATCCCGTGAAAGAACCTTGCGGAAGATGCTGAACAACAAAGATTGCAGGCCGCAGCGCTTCTCCACTACGCCACCGAGTTACATGCAGCGTTCATTTTCTAAGCTTCTTAAATTTTTAAGCAAGTTTTCTTTACTTTAATTTAATTTGAAGAAAAGTTAAATCGGCTCTAATAAGGAAATTTATTTAATTTTTATTTAAGTATAAATGCTATTCGTAGAATAAAATTAAGTAAATCGAATTATTCAGATCCCTTGCGGGGCAGGTAGAGACATTATTACAGAAATAAAAGTCATAGAAATTTTATGTATAATATTCAAATATTTCCTCGTTAAGTCTACTCTACTGAGAATACTTTTTCGTGGCATACGTCGTTAAAAGACCCGCTAGGGAAATTAACAACTGAATCAATTAATAAACAAATTAATTTATATCTAGATAATTGCAATAACAACCATCTATTTTTTTGTTTTATTTTATCGGCTATTACTTTTCTTCAACTATCTACTTTGTCTCATGATTTTTTTAAGTCTTTCTAAAAAGTAGGTTCTCAATTTAACCTGTTATTTTGTTAGAAACTCGTATGATAAATATAATAATAAATTGAGAATTAGTTTATTTCTTCTGAAAAATAATGGTTATTAATTTAAATAGAAAGGACCGTTATTAAACTGAATAAATGAATTAAAATTTTTCACAGTTTTATAATGACATTGCTGTCGGTAACCCTGGAGCCCGATGTTGTAGAATTATAACAGTGATTTATACGTACCAAAGGAGACGAAATAGGAGACTCCAATTTAAACTAAATTATGGTGAAGAATTTGAGCGTTACTTTGTTAAAACTTTCAAAGTTCAACATTTAATATGATCATTAATTAAGTTTTATATAAGACATATATAATATTATGCTATAGACAAATGTATTTGAGATTAATTAAATTTCTTATTATACGATTATGATTTGTTTGAACTTTGCAAAATTGACAATACAATTTGACTGAATTAAATATAAATAAGATAATGTCGAGAATGCATGAAACGTTAGTAATCTCGATGGTTAGAGATGTCGGTTGGACTACAAAAACTTATGGGTTTGGATCTCATCTTGGTCACTTGGGACTGGTGAACATCAAAATAATTGTAACCAAAACAATTATGTTTATTCACTGAAACTGTTATAAGAAAGAACGACTGGGTTAGAAAGTAAATTAAGAAAATGTTTTCGGCTAAATTACATAGTTGCTGTTTTCAGTGGTATTTAGTTTCTTCTTATAATGGTGTTGTTTTATGTATATGTCGTAGCTAAGTGGTTAAATCAGCCGTCTAATTGGGCGGCTAGCTCCTTAATCGAATGGCGCAATTCAATCGCACACTTAGTTTTCTAGTTGAATCATTATTACATTTGGACCGTTTAACAAGACGGTTGATATAAAAGCCACTAAGACTTTCATTTAGTATATTCCTTCGCCAATGTGACGCTAGCATCGCTTAATTTGCGTTACATTTATTCAACTAGCGTTGCCAAATATTGTAATATTTTATGTTACTTTTAAGATATTACATTTAATTGGAGTGTTCATAACGGGGCACCGAGAAGTAAGACTCAGAAAATACTGACAAATTTATGTCAATCAGAAAATTTTCTATTTTATCGCATAGAACACTAAACAACCTTTGGTTGGGTTTCTCCTCCTTAAGTCTTTAGCGCTTTTACTGGCTTAAATCGGTCTCTCTGTGCTAAGGATCGTGGCTTCGTCACATATTGCTCCGTTTACTGTGGTCTTCTACTTGATAGAGAGCCTGGTCATATAGAGTTCTTTATTTTTCGGACAACTGATCAGGGACTGCGTCCTCTTGATCGTTTGCCATTCTCTTTTCCGGTTATTATGAGCTTTTTCAACTTGTCTGTACTATTTGAACAAAGTACTGCAGTATTATGTGGGATGGTGTAGAGGTGCTGCTGTGAGTTTTGGATAGATAAGGTTACAATTTTGATCAGAAATTTCTAAGCTTTTCCTTAGTGCAGCAGTACACTCCAACCTATTTTTTCGTGTATTTATATTTAACTTATTTTTTATTATTCCTTACCTGTTTTGCGGTGATCCAAGAAGCTCGAGGGTACCCAGAAAAGAGATAGCAGTAGTTGTTGAATAGAACTTGTTTCACATCCATGCATGACTGGGCTGTAAAAGAAGAAAATACAATACAATTCGGTGCCGTCAATTTATTACTATAGATGAAGCGTTTGTTATCGTTACAATTCAGAAATTTCTTATTTTTGTTCAATAAAACAACAACTTTTGTTCACAAATCAACGTTATGTTTTACCTCATGATTGTTTTAAATACTTTTTCGCATAAACTATAAGATATATTACCTATAAATGTTAGTTAAGGAAATTTATATTGTCTTTTGATTAATATATTTTTTAAATATTAGTGATTGTTTTGAATCTAGGCGGATATAAAACTGTCAATAATCTATACTAGAACGTTATACATATATATTAACGAGTATAATATTTTGTCTTATTTATTTATTACTCATAATGTACCTACATTCAAACAACCTTAGAATATAGTTTCTATTATGTAGCATATAGCGACGCATTCGATTGAAAGTTAAACGAATTTCCTTGATAGTAACACGTTGGGCGCCATTATTATACCAAACGATCTATATATTTACAAACATTACGGAATTACTAATAGCTTTCACAGTTCGTAAAATTTCATAGTTGCGTGATTCGTTATTCGACGTTATTATAATTAAGGTGTCATAAGGTTAAAAGTCACATTGTTACTGAAACTTAAGTAATAATGGCTTGTTGACATTGCGAAAGATTTTGAACTTTTCATTATTATTTTATACTAGCTGTAACCCGCGGCTTCGCCTACGTGATCTGAAGGCATTGTGTATACACTGGCCTTCGGATCACGTAGGCGAAGCCGCGGGTGTATATACTGGAGTATTAAGTTAATCTTAATTAAAAATCTGAAACAGTGAGCATCCACCTTTATATCATTATCATCGTTGATGTCTAAAATATGGAACCAAATAATAAAAATATATCTAGGTGTTTTTGTGAATAACGTGTATGTATTCATGAAATAGTCCAGTTGCTCTTTTTTCCATTTTAGTGCGTAGTAGAATCGACACGCCTTGAAAAAAGCACAAAGAATATGACATGGAATATGATGTCTAATTGTAAACAATGGTTTCTCTGTTAACGATTTAATGTCCTGAACGAACTTCCACTCCTATTTTCATACCTTTATTTGTTTTTTTCGGGATAAGATACGATAGACATAGACTTTTGAAGAGGATCAATATCGTAATATATGACGCACGCAAGGAAAGCACTCAAAAAGTAAAATATTCTCCAGTTTTTGCAACATTTGTCATTGCTACTCCACTCCTATAAATCAGAACCTGCTGTTATATAGTCTATAGCCTTCCTTGGTAAATGGACTATTCAACAAAAAATAAAATATATATATATATATATATAATTAAATTCGTTCCAACCAAACAAACTCTTTAGCTTTATTATAAGTACATAATTAGAGATTTTCAAAATATACTAAAGTATTCATAACTAGCGATCTGCTTCGTCTCACAGAAGTACTTGTAATAAACTCTCATTTGGTATGATTTTCATTTCAATTTAGCCAATTTACACAAAAAATATGCTTTTCAAATATTTTAATTTAATAATTTAACGCTAAACAACTATGTTATTCTATTATGATTTAATTTACATAATAGTTTATTATGAGGATAATATACGGGGAAATCACACGAACTACCATCCGGTAATGCATTAACGCTGATGAGATTACGATTTGTACTTGAAAAATTATTTTATTAAAGAAAAATATTTGAGAAAAATAAAATTATTGTATATTTAATTAATTCGATCAGATTCAATAATTTTTTACTTTATAAAAAGAGTCAAGAAAAATACAAAAAATTGTGAATTTCAGGGGTGATTTTGTAATTTTCTTTTACTATTTTTTTCATATCTTCACGTTTTGACTGTGACAAATATGCGTCTGACATAGTTTTCTCATTTTTAATTACTGCGTATTTGGAAGTTATTTCTTGGTACCAAACTATTTAAAAGATAGTCATTATTGGTATACACTGTACCGCGACCTAATAAGTTTATTATGTTCAGATAGATTTATACTTTTAAAATTCCCTTTAAAATGGGTGGTCTATGGCCGTAGTTTTGGTTGCTAATGGTGCACTGTTTATGTGATGTTCGCCATTTACATGCACTGCTTGCTATCGATATTATTATGCTGTCAATTTATGGTACTATAGGTCTGTTTGATAACAGTAGCTTCAACATTATCTGTATGTGACTGTTTGTTACCTGAATAAATAAAAAAATATAAAAAAAATGTTTAATTTTATTTCATTTATTGAATTAAATAAACAAATAGAAAGCATGAATTATTGAGTTTTATTTTGTGTATAATTGCAAGAAAACATGATAGCTAGAGAAAAATTAGATTAGCTAGAAAAAGGGAAAAAATACTACGAGTATATAAACATATGGACTTCTTATATTTTCACAAGCACTATCCATAAATGAAACAACTTTTGGACGGTTTCATCCACAGTTAGTCGAATAAAATCTCACTCTAATCACACATTGCGAACCCAAAAGATATCCAGTTAGTTTCTGTAAATATTAAATCAAAGGGAGCAATTCACTTTTTCTTGTCGGAGTTCGTTTCGCCAGTTCTTCTCAGACAAGACTCCCAGTTGAAACTGGTTAAAGATTAAGGTAGCTAGGGTTAAATAAATAAGTCAAATGTATTTTTAAAATAATTTTATTTAGTAAATGTAAACGTTGCCAACACAAATATCTTTTTTGTATTATGAATGTGTCCAATAGTATTGGTTTTTGAAGGTAGCTAGCTATACTTATAATTAAAAAGACAATCAACATCTTAGTCTTATGTGAACACTGAACCTGTAAATGGTCGGAAACCTCTAAAACTGAATACAAACGCGATGTAACCGTTTAAAAGTTGTTTCATTTACTATATAAACCTCTGAAAACATAATATAAGCCTATAAATAAGTAAAAGCTAATGATCCGCTTGAAACAAATAGAGTTAAACATAAAATTAACATTAACAGTTACCGCTGAACTTGGAATATTTATATTTAGGTCGTAAAAGGCAATGGAGAATGTTATTTAATCCATGCCCGGTTACAGTTGAAATGGACCGGATATATCAACAAATGGACCGGGAGTATCGTTCATCTTGAATCGGTCAAGCGTAAAGATACTGCCGCTCTTAAAATATTACTCGTGATGTCAGCGTATTTCTTAGTTAAAGTTGACTCTTTTTATTTAACGAAAATAATATAAGTATGATTTTTAAAAGTAACACGTTGGGCGACAATTTCTTTGACACCCAATGTGTAACTTTTATAACTTTATTACTTTACAACTAATATATTACATTAAATGTAATTGTTAGACTTACTTTAAATGGAACCCATAAATCACATTAGTAATAGTAAATTGAGGTAGATGAAAAATAAATAAATAAATACATAGAAGTCAATATATAAAATATTGCCATCCTTGATGTAAAGCGTTCTTGTCGATAATTTATTTACCGTAAAATTCAAACAAACATACTTGATTGGTATAAGAATCTTATATGTGTGATATTAATTAATTCCAATGCATGAATGTGTGCGTTTTTCGCATATCGTTTAGTAAAATGAAACGTTTCAAGTTTAAAATATTCAGAAACTAGAAAAAAGTGGAATGCTCACATAGCGCGTTTGCTCGTTAGCTAATACCGGTCGTGCATTCATTCGCTTTCGGTGAACGAATGCGAAATTCAGGGCGCTATGTCGGTAATTTCATATGTACGTTTATGCTACTAGGGAAATTTCATTTTGCTTTGAGAGTCTAAGGGAAGATGACTAAATTAAGATGTGCCTTAGCTACGTACAAACATTGAACAAATTAATATCGAAAGCTGGATATCTGAATAAAAACTTGTTATGAAAATAGTAACTTTTTATGCACTTACAATCCAAAAAAATTGCAATCGTAATAGCCCAACTATCAATAAAAATCACTACAACAGAGCGACCGCCTATCTCTTTTAAAATGACAAAACGACGAATGTACAAATATTTGAGATAAAAAGCAATCAAACAGTATTTATGTCTTCAGTAATTACATTTTATTTTCTTTAGTTGCTTATTAACTTTTTTTTAAAGAAAACGTTATTATCTTTGTGTGGAAACTGTTAAAAGTTTACTATTAAAATTGGGTTTACACTCCGTCTTAATAAAAGTTTAAGTTATCTAACTCTCAAATCTCAGTATAGGAGAGTGAAATTCTCGAAGTTAAACATTTTCTGGATATTTTGGGAAAATGAAGAATCTCGATTCCTGGAATGACGGTCTTATTAGTTGCTGAAAACCAATTTTTCAAATTATTTTAGTATCGTGTTTAGTAAAACATTACAATATTTATTATCGTAGTAGTACGTGAGCACGTAGGTAAACTACGTTATGCATTATGTCTGCGGAGTTCTATACAGGTTCACATTTTCCAACTTTGTGTCACAGACTGAATTTCAAATAGATAGCGAATGGAAATTCGATTTCTAAAGTATTTCACTGAATGCAACTGAGAGAAACACAACAATATAGTATTCTTTTCTTATTTTATATGTCCAACCATATTGATTTAAATATTTACTGTGCTACTGATTTACTAATTATTAACCGTACAAGGACTTTGATTGATGGCTTAATTACATACGGGTATATTTTTGTAATGAGACGTTTTAAATAACACTGTGTCAATGGTGTAAAGTTCTTTTTGTATAAAAATAAAAAAACTGCTGTTGTGACTTTGTTGACTGAATAAATAAATAAAACCAAAAAACACGCAAATTTTCATTTAGTAATAAAATAACGTGCTTGCAACGAATAAAAGTCTTGCTATAATATAAGAGAATAATTCATTGAATATCTGACAATAAGCGTAATGAAATAATTCCACGCGACTCCATCTGTTGCTGAGAATTTAATTAAAAATAAATGGGTACAAATACTTAAAATATGTGACATTTTATCTGTATGACAAAGCTACAATGGACTGTTTCAGCTTTGGAGTCGAAAATGACAAGAATGTCGTACCTTAGCAACGTAACAAATGCCTTTGAAACTCGCAAATAGTCACAAAAAAGGGAGAAACCATAACTATTATTGTGTTAATTAAAACTACGAATACACTTGTACAGTTTCACCAAAGTTACTCTTTGCATCAATAGCAGCTTTTATTGTCAATGAAGCAAGAGTTGGACGAAAAGAAAAGTTTGTTAAGCTGTATTCTCTAGGGCAGGTAAAGGAATATGCGCTCTGTGGCCTCGTGTGAAAGTTGATGGTTAGAATGTATAACTTGTTGCACTTGCTGTGTCCGGCGCTGGTTGTTCCATTTGAGAGAATGGAACGCAAAGTTGCAATTGAAAACAAGAGACGTAGTTTTTTTGTGTAGATTAGCTTACCTGAACGTTCTCAGTTCTGTCGTCTGCAGGTAAAGTGATGTTCAGTAGTGAAGAACAAGCGAATAAGAAATAAATTTTAGCAACTAAAATAAATTATTCTTTTTTTAATAGCCTGAAGTGGTTACCAGAACAAATATTGAATATTTTTTATGTTCTTGGGATAGCATAGCAAAAATGTGTTCGATGATTCTACTACTACTTCTTTTTCACAACTAGCACATTGTTTGACCTCTATCTGAATCTGTATTCAGAGATGTATTTAACTTCAGACAGAGCGGATTACTGTTACTTAGGATGTGGATAAACTAGATTCGTAATAAAAAATATGCAATGGTCTATCTTTGTGGCTTTACGTGTGGCAAAATCCGACTCACAGACGTGAAAGGATTTCTTATGTTTATAATAAGATGAGCGTTGTGGGAGGCGAAGTTCTGTGTTGAAAATCTCAGTCTGTTCGTTCGTCCACTGTCAGATATAAGAAGCTGGCGTTACTATCTGGATAATTTAAATAATTCCTGCTACTGAGCGGAGAGAGACTGATAAAAAACACATAACATGCATTGTTTATCATCACCGGAGGAGAGGAGCTGAGACGTATAAAAAATTAAATACAGAACATATTATCAGATTCACAACTTAGTTCTCAAGTTAATTAAATTGACACAAAGAAAATACCACAACCAATGGTCAAGTTAATACACATTTTTTTTTTTATTAATCAGGCATTCAATCAAGTTTTAAGATCGATACTTACAATCGGTTAAGGTGATCCTGGCCTTGTATCCTGCGAAGTGCCTGGAGTGGTCTGATCGGAACCGTAGTCTCAGTTCGTTCCCTCTAGACTGATATCGAAGCAGCTTCACCTTTCCTCCCCAATCGCCGCACAGTCGTCGTACCTTTGTGGAGTGCGCGTCCCGTGACCACCCCGCGCTACTCGAGTCAGACTCCGGCAGAAGATACTCCGGCTCCTCCCACACCTAGATATTATTTTATATCTATTAACTAGCTAACTAGGAGCTCGATGGCGCAGTTGTGGAAACTTTAAAATGAAAAGAATAAATTCGAACTTCACCCACGTAAATTATAGCCTATTTCATCAGTGTACTACGTGTCCAATAGTTTAGGAGCTTATTCAATGCAAGAAAGAATCTTTCAATCAAAGTAGATAAGTTTAGAATCGTTTTCACTTTCTTTCTTTTAGGTGGCTTCATTTTTTCAAGAATGTTAAATTGACGGTGTTGGTACCATAATATAAGATTTATGAAATAATTAGGAAGAAATAAATTAAGCTTTATATTTTGATATATATATATAATTTTTCTGTTCTTATATTGCTTACAATATTACACTTACTTCATTGTCGGCACTGTAGGAATCATGATGGTCTTCCAGCAGCCACTCCTCAGCAGCACGATCAGTGCCGTTCTCAGCTACAGGTTCGATAATCTCCAGAAAATCGTAGCTACAACTGTAAATAGAAATGGAATAGTTTGAAATAAGTTCTTCTTCAAAACCCTTAAAATATTTGGTAACGTTTTTGTTATAGTAACCAGCATTCTTCTTGAGCTTCCGGAGGCTTATCTACTTAAAACCCTACGCTGTACCCTTATTTTAGGTCTGAGTTTTCCTTCTTCGTCTTTAAACACCTGCTATCTGTACGCTTAGATCTTTTAAAGTGCACAATGGATTTTAATGCGATTAACATCAATATATAGTGTAATTCAATAAAAAGGTTTATATAGGAATATAATTAAATGTTTCAAGAGAAAGGTTTATATAGGTTTATTATACAGGACCACGCTGGCGGAAAATTGGTATTCCATAAAACGAAATATACACAACGCCAAAACAAAAGACAATTGCCAACTGATTAGTACAGATTTATATATTCATTTGCTAATCAATATTACACGAGTTCGTAATGAGCAAAACCAGTTTGCGATTAATCAATCAGGAGATGGCAGCTCAATCGTAATCCACATACGTCATGATTCAGTGTGGCAGAATAGGATTACAGAATAAAAAAAATTGGACAACCTCGATGGCGCAGTGTCACAATGCAGAGGTTAAGTAACGTCAAACAATTAACGTAAGAGCCGGTCATAGGATGGGTGATCAAAAATGTATTATCTAGTGTTTTTCCGTCATATGGAAGGCACGTTAAACCGTTGTTTTCGGCTACATTTACAATCACTAACTCCTACCAATCCGCACTAATCCCATTCTCTCTACCTGATTCCATCTATAGGGAAGGCGTATTAGGGATATTAATAGGCTGATGTTTTAAAAAGAAAGAAATACATTATTTTTATTTAATGTTCTAAATAATAATAGAGTTTTGAATGAAAAATAATTGCAAAGATGTGAATACATTCTAAAGAAAGACTTCTATTCTGAATAAGGTTGCAGATTTGAGGCCCTTACGAATTATCACACTGAACTATTGAAAATATCGCGGTATAAATACGCTCCACTTAAATGTCACCTTCTTCTCGTGTACTCGTATCTGTAGTGGTGTCTTGAGAGAAGTTGCGATCAGAGCTGTAAGTACATAGGCGGGGCAGAGATAAGAGTGTGGGTTCACACTTATTTCATTGCCATCGGCCTATTAATATAGGTATAGGTCTTTCGTGTGTAAGTGAGAAAAGCGGACCCAGTATACAAGTTATTTAATATTTAGATACCCGTCTTTTTATAATTAAAGATCTTTTTCAGATATTTTTAAAGGCGCCATACATCTGCCATGGTGTATATTAAAAAAAAATTATAGCAAGTGTCATTCGCGATGACTTAACGTTCCCAGTGATACCCTTTATATTCATATCCGTTAAGTCTTTAAAAGTCATGCTGGAATAAAGACATTCTTATATATACATTAACCCTAAACACAATACACTCCTTTTTTGGCCAGTCGTGTAATCCACATACAATTTAAGTTAAATATTAATAAAATGCGTTGTGAACTATCTACCCGTTGTACTGATAGTTATGTGAAATCACTAAATCCTAAAGCATTATCCAAGTAAAGGGGGAAATGGGAGAGAGGGGATACGGTTTTCAAGCGAAAGCCTATTGAACCAGTTCCGCAAACAGGTGTATTTGGCAGTTCAATTTACATTATTGATGTGTTTTATCGAACTCACTTTTATACTATAGATTGGCTTCTCGACTCTTTGATAAATAAACAATTATTAAAATTAATTCTATAATCAAGAATTTATGCAAAGAAAATACTAAAAATTTGTCTATAAAACAAATATAAAAGTAAAACTTAACTTATTATTAATAAGTTCAAATATTTTTTTCTGTTGGAAAATTGCTTAAAATCAGGTATGGGCAGCCTTGGACATGTTGTGGGACAAACTTTAGTGTGCAAATAAAGGTTTGCGGGCTGCGTTTAAAAGTAATACATTTTAAAGTAGTGTTGTAGTGCTATTATTTATATATATATTATTTTTTTATGCGATATATATCATACATGAAATAATACGACAATGTTATTATAAATTAGGTTTTTAAAAATGTCTCGCGGGCCGAATCCGGCCCGCAGGCTGGCTTTTGCCCACCATGGCTTTAAATCATAAAATAAGGTAATAGTTAATAGTATTAAACTTGTTTTTTATTGTAAATTTTTTGAATTTTTTTATAACAATAGAATTACTTATAGGCAGAATAAGTATGAATTAAATTTAAAGTTACAAAATATTTAGTTTCCTAGTTTTTCAGTAGTCTTTTTTATACTATCTTAATAATCCCAAAGTTATCATATTCAAATCTATCATCAGCACACACACCATGAAAGACATAGATACCGTATATTGAAAACCTGTTATTGGCAAACCTTCAAACAAAGACACAATATTCGAAGCGATATCAATATCATATTTCTTCGTAACAAAGTTTTGCGGATACGTTACTGTCAAATACAAAAACCATAAGTATATAGAAAAATTACGAGAATCTAAAATACAGTGTTGTTTCGTAAACAAATATGAGAGGTTAAATTTTATTATGCTGGATTGTGAAACTTTATAACTACTACATTGTAAAACGGGCTTTTTTGCTTGCATCATTTGCAATACAAATGAAAAAATTTGAGCGTGTTAAGACGTCGGTGACCGAGTGGTGTATCCCCTAGTATAAGTCTCGAGTACGATTCCCGGTTGAGTTAATGTACTGCTTTTGTTTTAAGGTAAAAAAAATATGGTGCAAGGTATATTCGATATTCCTCATTTAAGAAAATAACTATTTTTGTGAAAGTATAAGTGTAGCAGTAATTTATTTTTTGGCATTTTAGCTGAAGTGAAAAATAAGAGAAGTGTTGGAATATGGCAGGTTATATATTTTGCCTGCAACATTAACATCGTGTGTAGACAGGCGTATTTTTATCTGATACGATCCCCACTCAATTTGCAAACTTTCTCTCCTCGGAGCTCATCAGATAGGCTTAAAAGTTTCTCGGTTAAATACAACTTGGAGATCGGTAGTTACCGATATTGAAAAAGTCTTTAAAAGATATTGGGAACAAGATATGTTTTAGTTAGTAATGAGAGCTCAATGAGAAATAAGGTGGCGTAGTAGTTAGTGCGTTTGGTCTACAATTGCAGACGTTTAGCATTTTTTGCAAAGGTCCATTATCAAATGCGTTATATTATATAATATTAAGCTTTTGAGGGCTCATCTTTCAGGGCTTACGAGTTAATCTTTTTCCTAGCTTCTTTACATTTAAACTTTTTTATTTCCTTTTCCGTAACTTTCAACTATTCAGGTCACCATTTAAGTGTCAGTTAAAATCTTAAACTTCATTAATGGGATAATATTTGTTTAACAATATTATACAAGTGATTAATGCTTGTTTCCGAACTCTCCTTAGGTTAAAATTGTTTTTTTTTCCTTCGTACTAAATGATCCATTTGATCATTATTGTTTAACAAAGGTCGTGGTGAATGGCGAACGCTGACGAGGCACTTCCAGTAGTTCTGTAGACACAGGATACCGGGCCATTAGCGTGAAAGCTAACGGAACAGAAATCTGGCAAGAGGTCGATACAATGCGTTCCTATGATGTTTAGTTTGTAAATACACTTTCAGTAAGGATATTGAAAAGCAGGTTCGAAAATATAGGAAATCAGCTGTTTTCTCGCGTAAATTATAGCCTAGCCATCATTTGTGTATGATGTAGGTTTCCGTATGTGAGAAAATTTTTAAAAATGGTTCCATGTTCAGAGGCTATTATTCAATGTAAACAAACAATACAATTTTCCTCTTAATAATTATAGAAAAGATAAAGACAACATAAAACAATGGAGAAAGAGAAGGTCTTCGCCTTCTCTTTCTCCATTGTTCAAGAAGAAGACATACAAAAATTGTTTTAAATTAATTAATCACGAAAAATTTTAAAATTGCCAGATTGGTGAGAAAAGTATATTGGTGAGTATTAGGGATGATGACAAAATTGTGTTTGTCTGTCTGTCAGGTAGATTATTGAAGAATAATAAACAATTATTTTTTATTTATTGCGTAATCAATGAATTACGGCAATACATTGAGTTGAATTATTGCATGAAGTAACGACTTTGTACATTTTCTACGTCGTAGTAACGTAGCCAGCCCCCACTCCTCAACTTTAATGCCTGTTATCTAAGCTATTTCTTGTTAAATTGAAGTAAAAAAAATACGTATCTAATATTTTTCTATTATCTGATTGACGGACTAAATAGAATTGCCTTTTTTTACCCAGTCATCATCCCTATTATCAACACAGCTTTGATCACCTCTTTCTTCTAAAGGTTTTGGTAGAAAAAGCCAGATTGTATATATGTGTCATGGGAATGGCCAGTAATTGTAAATATCTTTTAATAATTTTATCAGATTTGGTCAATTCGCACAGCACAGTTAGCTTTAAGTCCAGCAAAGAGCTGCAAGATCTCGTCCTCATCCATCGGTAATAATGCAAATGAATCAACTGGCGAAATCAACAAATGGAATAGAGAAGATAAGTGTTGATTTCGGTCTCGAGGTAGTATTTCTTCCGCTATTTTTTTTCCAATATTTGCAGAAACAGAAACAGTTGATTTCATTAACACTGAGGTTTAGCGAATCTGAAGAAATAAGAGATGATGCATTGTCCACATTTATTGTGTTGTTCGTTTGATTAGAACCGCTTATATTTTTAACAACCTCTCACAGCCTTATTTTTGTTGTTTCTAGCAGTTTTAATCTGTAGCCTTTCATAATTCCTCCTAACCTTCCTAACCTTCTTCAAAACAGCTGTACACTAAATTCTACAGCGTTTATATGCAATTTTAATAATATCATTGTTTGGATCCTTTTTTAATTTCTTATGTAAGTTATCCCTATTATGCATGGAACGAAGTAGTCCACTCGTAATCTATGGCTTTCTTATGACTTTACGATCAGAGACTCATACTGGGGTTGAGCTGTCTTTTATGGCCTTTGATAGGTATTCCACTAGCATATTAGTTGCTAAGTCGGCTGATTCACAGTTAAGGATAGAAGAAAAGATAATGTTCAATATGGTTTTGTCTAGATGTTCAAAATCAAGGCGTTCAACTATCTTATGAGTAGAATATAATTTGGTATTTAAGTTAAGACTGATGGCTACACTGTCATGATTGGTGACAGACGATTCAAGTGCCACACATGTTGCTTTTAATTTGGATTTCAATATGATCAAGACATGTACGTCCACGTGTGAGTTCTGTGTTACCCGGAAGCATACCATAGCTGGCCAACACGTTCAAGTATTCTTTGCGATACCTATCGTTACTGTTTGAGAGTATATCAATATTCATATGACCACAAAGGATAATATTCTGCACGTTAGTTAAGTTTGTGAGGACCAAATCTAATGAATTTAAAAAGTCATTCAAGTAAGTAAAACCGGGGGAAGGGGCAATCAAAAGTGTTAATGTGGTTTATTTGTATATCTGGCGGAAAGATAGCATAGAATATCAATATCGACTTCATATTTTCATATGCAGTGTAGTCTCAGCTTTAGGGACGGGTTTTTCATTTGAGTAATCGACCGACATTTTCGCAAGCCAAAAATCGAAAGTTGGATTCATTTTCATGATAGATATTGAAACTAAAATCTTTACTTTGCCGAGATTAACTTTAAAGGGAAATCTTTTGTTAACTTCGACTTCACTCGTCTCGGTAATTATGTTATTTTTAGTACAGATAATGATATGTAAGTCTTTTTAAGTACCGTTTTAAGGTAATATTTTATCATTACTTACTGCGTTTGGTATAGCGTCGGTTCACCGATAAACGTGGTAATAAAGACGAACTCGGTTTGTCGTTTATTTGCGACATAAAATGTGTAATTCCGTATTTTAAATGACTTTATTTGAGTTATCACACTTCTTCCTAATCTAAAGTGTTGCAGGTTTAAATTCCCCCTTTTATTGTATACTACTCTGAAAAAAAAATGGCTGTTTAAACACCGAGAGAGTTCAAGCTGGTAATAGACTGTTAAAACACCACCTGATGTGAAAATTGTTTAATGCATGGACCGTCACTTTGTAATGAAATCTTTTCTCATTTCTTCCTTAAACCACGGTATTGTCAAGTTTCTGAATTGAGAAAAGTACAAAATTTCAACTTAGAATCTAAAGTTATTAATTTTAGTTTCACAAATCAAAAAGTCCTTGTTTTATCGATCTGCTGTCAACTGTTATTTAAAAAATACTTAAATCAGTAATTTAGTACAGTTTGAGAAATCCTTAACTCTAATCTCTAAAATTTCATAATATATTGTATAAATATTTCTTTCGGGAATCCACCCATTGCCTGAATATTTATGAAAATACTTAAATATTTATGTTAAGTATGTTTTTAATATATAATGATATTCTTTAAATAATATTTAGATATACCCAATTAGTCAATGTAAAATGTAGATGAGATGCATTATCGCATTCGGTACCTGTAATGATAAATATAAACAAAAAAAAAAAAAAATTTCGGAGCTTATTCGACGCAAATAAACAATTAAATATTTACAATATAAAATTAGTATGAATATGCTATAAATAACCAAGTATAATAATATAAAAAAATATTTCACATTATATATTACAGTGGCCGCCTTCGTAGAGTGGTTGTGTATTTGCAACGCAGGTTTGTATCGGCGGACGGACGCTATCTGCCATAGATAATAAATTGCCTCCGGATAACCGACGCCTTATTCCGTTCCCACATCAATGCCGATCTTGATATATCATCTCGGTTGCCGGCTATTGTCTTTGGTCTTTTATGATCATAATATCTGTCCCTTTTCTACGTCTGATGTTATTTATCGATAAGAATTATATAAATACTTCATTTATATTCTTGTATTTTTAGATATCAAAAGTAGTTTTGTTGGTTTTTAGTATAATATAACTTATGATTACTTTTTGTTTTGCTATAAGTTGGTACTTAATGAGTAATATGTCATAGGCTGTGTGCTATTTAAAAGTTTGGTTATTTAAATTGACTATAGGCAGTGCTGCGCTTAATGAAACTAGGCTCCCTAGGCGAAACACTGGAATAACGCCCATAAAAAATCATAAGAAAAATCTTATGTAGGTACACCGCTTAAAAGAGCCTAATTTTGTCAATGACAAAAGAAACTCTGTAAGGACTGCTGCTCAGAAATTCGTATTATACTTTTGAATACACCGGACATATTTAAAGAACAGAATTTATTGTTTTTAAGGTTCAAATAATAAGAGCAAACATGTGTTTGTGAGAAATGAGCCAGTTAAGTTGTTTGATACTGTGATCAAGGTATGTGGTAAGGAAAAAGAAATAAGCGCGAAAATCGTTGATTTGAACCCTATTAATGATGTTTGTCCGTCAATCATGCCGAAACTACTAAACGGATTTTAAAGAAATTTGGTATACAGGATATTAGCTATATGACTTAGATAATAGGATACTTTTTATCCTACTAAATAGCTGAAAGATGCTGGCTAAAGCTAGTATAATAATATGAGAACAATATGCAATAAAATAACTCACCATGCTATACGTATATAATATATATGTACGAAATTATGCGTTCGATCAATGACTTTTTATTATTATTAGACACGTTATACTTATACATTATTGCGTATTAAAAAAGCGTAAATTTTATTGTGGTAGCGTAACATTATAATACAATGTAGCGTAGAAATAAATAAATCCCTATCAGAATCTTCACCAGAGATGTACAAAATACCCTGTACAAAGTATCTGGAATACAAAATACAAAATACTTTTAAATTAAGTATTTCAGATACCAGATAGGAAATACTTTCGAGAAAAGTATTTGAAATACTAGATACAAAATAGGTATCTTGTAGCATTAATAGGCGAGTAAATGGGTGTCGGCCGTCTAATATAGCGGGTTCCTTTGTTTCGGCGGACACCTTTGCCGCGCGTATCC